ATTAGTTTTTCTGGGTTGTGAGATAGGTGTGTGCACTTGTATTCAGGGAGATGATTTGAGTGTTTTTAGAAGAAAAACTTAGTTGGAAGGATTCTAATATTAAAAAGTCGAAGGGATCTCGCTGTTCAAGTCCATTGAGAAATTGCAAGTTCATAGGCATCTTTTTAGAAAGGGAGAGATTAAGTCCAATTGAATTGTAGCAGAATTCTTAGTGGATTGTTCATCATCTGGGCGTGGCCTCGCGGAGTAGGTTGTGACCGAACCGCGATACCAATTCTCTCGTGTTCTTTCATTTTACATCTCTGCATTATTTATATTGTCTTATAAAGTATTAAAAGACTCAAACCAGTACCTACAAATGCCTTGTCACGTCAAGCAACAAATAGGCGCTGACCGTCGAAGAATCAGCGTTCCAGTTGGTTGAAGCTTAGCTGTTTCAAAGATGAGCGTTTGTGGTAACAAGAGAGAAGCCGACTGCTCCAGGTTCCTTTAAGACAATCCTTGAAGAAACACTTAAGAACAACGAGCTTGTAATGTACAACATCTACAATGGTAGTCGACTGATCAAGCGGTTAAGACAGAGATGGTTCTAAAATCTTGTAGGCTGACAATGCCATGCAAGGATCGACGAAAACGAAGGCTCTATTTGGACTTGCTGCCCACACCCAGTAAAAGCGGAGAAGGCAACGTGATTAGTTGTCTGGCTCAGATCCCGAGGAGACCCCCTGAGGCAATAGGAAAGAAATCTCTAGGTTACTTACGGGCATAAACAAAGCCAGTGGCAGGAAAAATGATTATTAACCTACTAACCGCCCAAAACGGCCCAATGGAAAGTCCCGAGGAAGTCTTAAGGCCGTAATTTCAGACAGGGTAGGTAGATGAACATACATAAAAGTACTATATAGCTGCAGTCCAGTTGAATAGGATAATAGGCTACTCGAGAGCAACTGTAGGGTAACCATTTGTCTCGGTTTTCCCCAACGTGTAATCTGTGAGATATAAAAGAGGCATGACCCAAGAGAGAGGATAGAGACCGAGAGGATCATTTGAGAGAATTGAGCCCCTTGTAATCAAAATAAAGAAGGAAGAAAGAGAGAAATTTCTCAAAGTGAACGTAGCTTTTACATTGAGAGTGAATTACTATAATTTCTGGTGTTCTTCTCCTTTCCTTACGTTTCATTCATATTCTGAGCATCTATAAAAACCCATACACGAATAATTATACTTTACTAATAGAGATTAATCGGATATAGTGTGACGACCATCCTAGGTAGCCGTCACTGTAACTGAAATTAACTTGTACTTACTGGGATTTCTTAAAATTTACAGAACTTTTTTTTTTAAATATAAGAAGGAATAATTTCATAAATCATAACAATAATTTCGAAAAATGAATCACTAAATTTTTTAAAGCTTTTCTTAATTTCAACTAAGATAAAACCTTATAAAAACGTCTTTCGAACTGAGCGACATTTGAACTCTTGTTTCAAATACTCTTTAAAAGCCTTTCTAAAACTAGCCAATACAACCAGGCTATCTAATTTGACTTTAAAATGAAATTCGTGAGGAATCTTAAATTTAAGTACTTCTTAAAGTCCTTTCAAAATCAATCATTTAAATCGTCACGTTTAAAGTTCGTTTATTTGTTGCATGCATTGTTGCAACGTTCTAAAACTTAAATGCTCAAGACTAAGGTTATTAGCTACAACCTCGGTTCTCTTAACATACGTATGTACATATACTTTTCAAACATACATGCTTGAAACCTTGAATCATATGATTTTACTTAAACTTACTGCGGAAGATTTAAGTGTGAGCGGTATCCATTCCCATCTCCACCATTCGTCCGCCGCTCGCCACTGCCCTTCAAGAATTGCTGATAGGTTTCTTACCTACAGCATGAACGTATCTGAATGAGCTTTCGCTTAGCAAGTAAGAACTATCTCTCGCAAAATAACTGTAAGTTCACATGAATAAATATGCATGAGCTGATTATGCTTAATTATGATGTCTTATCAGAGTCTTATTATCTTATCTTATCTTTCTTACTGATGGGCCCAAGTGCTCATACCACTTGCGCGTAATCATCGGGATGTGAGGGTTTGTAAAGTCCCCAACGACACCGTGATTATAAACTGAACTGAATGCCTCCCTCTCAGATACATTATTATTTTTTTCTTCTCCCTTACGGAGCCTGAGTTACCTCCCTCTCAGAGGCTAGTACGGCACTCAACTGAGATTATTCTTATAAGTTCCTCTTGACTTATTAAGGTGTATGTAGTATGACATGACATCACATACAATACTTAAAGCATAAACATGCATATATAACATGTGTAACTTTTTCTTTAAAATCTATTCATACTATAGGCGAGATTCCTACTTACCTGATTTACAAAGTTGGAATCCACTTTTTGCCAAACAGCCTATTTTCTTACTTGCTTACTTCTGAAATGAACACCCATTGAGAGTGTGAGATTATATGTCGTTTGCTATTCTATTTTAGCAGCTTATGAAGGAAATCTAGCCCTTTACTTAAGGCATGTATTCATTTCCTTTACTGAAGGATAATTTACTATAAGGATCAATTTATTAAATCCTTAAAATCTTATTTTTCTTAATTACCCTTAACATACTTATGTCTAGATTGAAATCAATTATCCAATCTAGTAACTTATTCTCCATAATTTACCTTATTGGACTTGTTCTATCACTAAGACCAAATTTGACCTAGAGACTTAGTAACGGCGTTCTAACTCTTAGACCGTTGAAATTTAGACTTAAGCAGGGTCTCCTAAATTAATGTGTGCGTTAGACCCACATCCAATCTTTGTAAATTTAAGGACCTAACATATTGGACTCGTAGGTGCCCGTCGGGATGTTTTGCTCGAAAAACTATTAAGTTTTTAAAAGAAATCATTTTTCTTGAAAACTTTCTTCATGAATATTTTCGTTCAAATGATGTCTAACACCATAGTATTTTACTAAAATCACTTCTCGGGTTCTTTGATAAACTTTTGTTAAAAACCAACACTGTGTTAGTTTTGTTTAGTTAAAACTGTGCAGTTTCTGAAATCTATATTTTACTACATCTTAGAGTCCGATTTTGAAAATATGTTCTTCACGATAATTTTTCGTCTCGTCGAGATCTAAAATTGTCGTTTTTAGAGAAAGCTGAAATTCAGCATCTATAGGCCTTGTTTGGCTGAAACAGTGGCTGCCAGTTTTTTTTCCAAAACTGTTTTGGACATCATGTCCGTTTTTTAAAAATGGCTTTAAAACTTATATTTAGAGTCGAAACTGGGTTTTGTCACAGTCACAGAAAAATGTTCAAAATATCGAGAACTATAAGTACAAATTTTGAAACACTGAAAAATCTCGCTCTAGGGTCCTCATTTTCGTGTTCAAAGTAACCGAAAAATTTTTCTTCTAACCCAAAATAAGCAAACTTAAACCAAACCTAAACATACCGCATAATACTAATCAAACTAACCCCAAAACTCACCAAACCACCGTAAAACTCACACACCCTTATTACAACCATAGCCTCAAAGGAACCAAAAATTACATCCATAATTTCAAGCTTAAGGTTAGCTAGAAAAATAATGGAGAGTTCAAGAATTTACCCTTGAAGAACTCTCTCTTGAAAGTCTTTGTAATCCTCCTCTTCTCCTTCAACTTAAACTAGATTTGGGGTGAGAAATATGGAGACTTTTGAGAGTATGCAAGGTAGAATGAGGCTTGATTTTTGGTGAGGGAAGAATAGAGAAAGTTTTGAATGCTTGGAGCTTTGTGAAGGACCGGTTTTTGGCAAAGGGAGAATAGAAGAAAAAAAAATGAAGGAGACTTAATGCAAGTGGCCGGTTTTGATGTTTCAAAAGAGAAGTGATGTAAGCCTTTTTGTTAAATAGTTGATTTGATTTATCTCAGCATGAAGTCTTATAGCATACTCAACTAACTAAAATTTTTGCTTAAAACCCTTAACATGGCCGGCCAAGATGAGAGAAAAGAGTGAAAAAGAATGTCATGATTTCTCTGCACCTTCCACCATCAAATCACATATGTCGTGATTTCTCTTCACATTCCACCATCAAATCACATATGTCATGATTTCTCTTCACCTTCTATCATCAAATCACATCTCATCCAACCAAATTTTAACATACCCCTTGTACTTTTGTTTCATCTCTTAAGTTTTCCTTAAAACAGATAAAAATTATACTGACTGTAAGGAAATACTTAGCCGACAGGAAATCTTAGTTTCTGACGGTTCCTTTTCTTCTCCTTATTTATAGTTCAATATTAATCCCCGACTACTTCGATATCACATTAAATTCTTACTCGCGCAATATTTTGAACTGTTTCAAGTCTTGAAATTTATTCTAGACTAAACAAATTCTAAACTTAAATTTCTGCATTATATCCCGGGAATGACATTGTTTCTGACGGTGTCAACTCCCGAGCTCACATTCTACCATTCTACTAAGTATTTATCTTATGACTTCAACCTAGCTGTCCTGCAATTAAGGATTTTCTCTTCTTTTAAAATGTCAGGGCGTTTTTTTATACGCTGCTAACAACGTGCTGTGCTTGAAGATTCTTGAAATTAAGATTCTCAAACTACATATGTACTGAAAATTCTTCCACCTTACAGTATGACGAGAATTTATCAATCGAATTTACTTTATCGTAAAACATGAACTTAGCATGAAATCTGCTACAGAATTTAGGAATACAGATGTTAATTCCATAAATCATTCAGTCACAAAATATAGCATAATATTTTTTAAGAAGATCCTTGGCTTAAATACATAAATTGTATTATTTAAAGTCTGAGATTTTCTCAGTCATTACATATAGAGTACTCACTAACACACGATTTGGCCGGTAATCTAACTGACTACTAAGTGGCAATATGATACATTTTTGTTGACGAAATTTTACCGTAAACTAGTTCATGATTTGGTTAGCGCATCCTATGACCTGATCATCTTATAACCATGTCTCTGTCCATTGCGACTTTTCAAACAAGAAAATTAGAAGCTTCAAAGCAACTTTGGGAAGGTGATATTTTGTAAAAGGTCACGAGTCAAACAGACGTTCTTTTTGTGGAGTCAAAGTAACAAAGTTGATGCTGACCATTAATTCTCTACCCCTTACATAATACTTAAACCAAAGTACATCCACTCTATTTATATGCATAGATCAATAATCAAATACTTTACAGTATTGTCTCCACAACAATTATCCCTATGGATCTCCAAATGGAAAATATCTTCTCCCATCTCCTGCCATTATTATTACTAACAATCTTATGCCTCTATTCAAAATATTATACATTTGTTGGCGCTGTAGACCAAAGGTTGCAAAACTGCAGTGTTCCCAGGAGCTGTGGCAGTCAAGAAATAAGCTTCCCATTCTATATCGAAGAGGATTACAACTACTGCGGATACCCGGGCTTTCACCTCTCTTGTGATTACAATAATGGCGATCCTCGCACAATTCTCAAGCTCGACGGCGACGACTACATCATCCACACCATCTTCTACCAAAACAAGTCTCTTATCGTCTCAAACGCCGCATTTTCGACTCCCAACACCACATGTTTCGCTCCTCTCCGGAAACTATCTCTCCCAAATAATTTCTTTCTCACTCCAAACCAAAGCCAAGTCTTTTTGCTCCAAAACTGCCACAACACTTCTTCTGAACTCATAAAGTACAAGATCGGTTGCTCTGCAGAAAATGACACCAATTGGGTCTTGGCCTTGCCGGAGAACGACACGAACCGAGTGGCTGAGGCGTCTGAAAAGTGCGAGGCGGGATCAAGGACGGTGGATTTGCCAGTGATGAAATATAGTAGCGAGACTGAAGGAATGAAAGAGGTGTTGAGCGGAGGATTCATGCTTAGTTGGATTGCAAGTGACTGTAACTTTTGTAACAGCACTGGAGGCAAGTGTGGATTTGATTATTCCTCCTATCGTTTCAAGTGCTATTGCTCAGATAGGCCTCACCGCGCGCATTGTGACCCGCCTACTGGTCAGTATCTTTATTCTCTTCTCGTCAAATCAACACTCGTAATAATCTTTGATCATCTCCTAATGATCAGCTTCTTTCTATTTAAACAAAAAAAAAAAAAGGAATTTATTTTTGGTCACGCTGGTCAAGTGTTTCTTAATTAACATCTCGATCGACGTTTGCTTAAATCTTTATTTGTTGCATAGGTTTGAACCAAACGATTTTTGCTTAAATATTTATTATCCCTTCATTTTAGTCCTTTTCACCCTTTCTTTTATTTTTATCCTGAAATTTATTTTATTTTTCGTTTAGGTTATTTTTGCCTTAAAACTCATTGATTTCTTCATTTTGGTCATGTTTGACCCCTTTTTTTTTTTTTTTTTTTGCTCTGAAACTTTGGGTGCGTTTGGAACTGTGTTTTGGTTGTTTTTCAAAACGTTTATGCACGTAAACGAAAATAGTTTGCAAACCGCATTTGTTTACCAAATGTTTTGAAAACGAAAACGAAAACAAAAACAATGAGAATGTTTTTGTAAAGAAAGTAAAAAACGATTTAAAGTTGTTTTCCCTTTTCCACTTTTATTTTCTAGTACTTATCAACAATGTTATCTTAAATTATTATTATTAATTACTAATTATATAACATATTAATTAATGATTAATAATTAACAAATAGTATGATTAATAACTAATAACTAATAAATAGAAAGTAATTACTTAATTATTATTAAATTTGTAATTTACTTAATTAATTATTTGGTTAAAGATTAATTGCCCAAAATTGATTATATAATATATTAATAATAGAATAAATAATTATAGGTTATTAAATAAATAACTAATAATTAATATGCCAATCATAAATTAATTTGTAAATAGTTGATAAATAAAAAACAAACAGTTATTAGTCAATTAAAAATTAATATTAACTTATAATTATTAATTGTGTAATATACTAATTAATAGTAATTAATAACTGAAAATGAGTAATTAATTATTATTTAACAATAATTACCAAAAATTGATAAATTAATATATCAAATAGTAGAGTATTAAATAAACATTAGTAATTAATTAACTAATTATTTAATTATGTGACGAAAAGTTAATTATTTAATTGGTAAATATAATATTAATAAATTATTTATATATTAATTATTTTTTATTAACACACTAATTAATTACTTATAAATTATTAAATATAAGTACTTTACCAACATAGTAATTACTTATAATCAACTATTAATTACTATTTTTTAATATATTTAGCATCTTAATTTATTATATATATAGTTTAATTACTAATGTACTCATTAATGATAATGTCCATTATTATATTATTAATATATTAAATTTTATTTTTTAAGTGATTATTAAATACTTAATATCTAAATTTAAGATTATTAATTACATGTACTCAAAAAAAAATTTCATAAATATAATCAAACACGATTTCACATTTTTATTATACTTAAAATAGTCTCTTAAAATACCAACTCAACACAATTTCCGAATCGGTCCAAGAATAATTTTGAACATAATCTCATTTTCACTTTTGTACTGAAAACAAAACCATTTTAAAAATGTTACAAAGCGGGCCTTTTATTTTTTTCATTTTGGTTCTTTTTGCCCTAGAACTTATTTATTTCTTTATTTCTGCCCCTTTTCACCCTTTTTTGTGTCTTGAAGTTTTATTTTTATTTTTTTTTGTTTTTGTTCCTTTTGGTTTGGAACTTATTTATTTCTTCATTTGGCCCTTTGCGAACCCTCCTTTTTTTAGTTTTGCCATAAAACTTTTCTTTTTTTTAACTTTGGTTCTTTTTGTCCTAAAACTTATTTATTCCATCATTTTAGTCCTTTTTTTACCCTTCTTTTTATTTTTGTCATGAAATTTCATTTTTTTTTCATATAGTTCCTTTTGCCCTTAAATTTATATATTTATTCATTTTAGTCCTTTTCTCACCTTTTTTTTTAATTTTGTCCTGAATTGTATTTTATTTTTGTTTTGGTTTATTTTGCTCTAGAATTTATTTATTTCTTCATTTTAGTCCTTTTTTGACCTTTTATAATTTTTACCTTGAAACTTTTTTTTGTCCATTTTGCCTTAAAACTTATTTATTTTTTCATTGTAGTCTTTTTTGACAATGTATATATATTCTTCTTACCCTAGAACTTCATTTTTTTTAATTTTTTTTCCTTTTTGGGGTTTTATAATTAGATTTTATATGCTTTTTTTGGGACATATTTTATATGCTTTTAATAATAACATGAAAATTAAACTTTAACACACGGATTACTCCCCATGTGCATAGCACGTGGAGTTCAACTAGTGTGTTAAAAAGTGTTCCAAACTTTAGTACATGAATTTAGAAAAGTGTTTAAACATTAAATTTTTTTTTTTGGTTGCTAGTGATAAATTATGATGATCATTTGATTGTTTTATATTATGGAAAAAGTATAATAATTATGAAATTAAAAATTCTAAAACTCGTAAGATTTATGTATAAGGACCAAAGTATACATATGGGTGTGGTTTAAATGGTTACTTTAATGTTTATTTATCGGTGAGTATCGTTGTTTTTATTCATAGGATATTATTTCGATTGTTGTAATAATTATTGGTTGGTGGACCAAAAAATTAATTGTAATTAATAAAATTGAATTCCTATCACACGACATCATATGTTTTTATATATGGAGGAGTTGTTAATGATCACGTTTCTGTAGGTGGTTAGCCAAGAAATATAAAAATTTGATTGAGTGGTGTAATAGGAATTCAATCTCATTAATTGTCGTAAATGTGATGAAAATGTAATCATTGAAAAGTCATCTATTTTAAATTTTAATGGTTATATTTTCATCAGTGATTACCTGTCAAATATAGCAATTTAATGATGTGACGTGATAAGAATGCAACCTTATAAATTATCATTTTTTTTGGTCAACTACCTAAGATGTTACAATAGTCTGATCAAAACACATGGTTAAAATAATAGTATCCACCGACGGGTAAATATGGGAGTACCATTAAGGGTATGGTTGGTACATGGATTCTTCATGGGTTCAAACCTATGGTTTTGATTCTGCTACAATGTTTTTCTCTAAAAAAACTTAAATTTTAAAAGTCATAATTAAAATTACTGGTTTGAACCCATATACCAAACGGACCCTAAAACTACACCCATTTACACACATCATACAACTAAAAAAATATGTCATACATATTATTAAAAAATAAATAGGAAAATATATATAATATATCTAGTTCGGATTTACAGATTAAGCGAATTCAAAAATGTTCAATCTGCAATTCAATCCAGAACTTTCGGATTGGAAAAATCGTAATCCATTACCAATTTAAAATTTTCTTAAGCCAATTCAATTTGATGAATTGGATTAAGAGAATTGAACAAATTGGCAGATTGATGAACACCCTTATTATCACGTGTATTCGCTAGTCGAATAGGATGCAAGACATTAAAATTTGACTGGCAGATTAGACTTTTGAGAATTTCGTATCAAATTCAACTAATGTCACTCTAAGAAAGAGGCAATTAATTCCTTACTTGATTAAGAAGTGCTGTCCCATTAAAATTGTTATATTCCTTTTCAATGGGGCCACCGTGAATCTCTTGAGTTGGGTAACTGTGGAAATTCATTCACGGCTATTTAACCATTTGACTTGTTTGTTAATACACTTGCATATCATGAGTTCAATATGTTAAATTTAGTAACCAGTCTTGGTTTGTCCAGTAAAAGCCACATCGGGCAGTGAGTACTTTTTTATTCCAAGTCAAATAGAAAGATGGTTTAATTATACCGTAAGATTAAAAATCCTTTTTCAGTCTCATTCTCTCTTTCTAATATGTATATATATTTCTGGAAATTGATAATTTTATGCTGCGTTGCTCCACTGAAATGTTATCAATTTATTGGCAGGGAAAACAAAAAATCTGGCCGTTAAAGTCGGAATAGGGAAAAAAAAAAAAAAAAAAAAAAAAAATCTCTCGTTGAATCCTTGTGACTGAAATATGTGCAAAGACCTTTAATATTTTCGGTAAGACTATTCTAATGCTTGCTTTATCATTTCTTTTCTTTGGTATACGTTGTAGCCGCTGCAGTTGCTGGAATTGGGTTTCTAATTGTGATACTCTACTGCTTGAGGAAGATGTCATTCATTTTCTTTTGGAAAGATCAAACTCAGCAAAATGTTGAGGCCTTCCTAAAAAATTATGGACCTCTTCAAGTCAAAAGATATAGCTACTTGAATGTTAAGAAAATGACAAAGTCTTTCACAGTAAAATTAGGCCAAGGAGGATTTGGTGATGTATACAAAGGAAAGTTAGATGATGGCAGTCTTGTTGCAGTGAAGGTATTGAACCAATTAAAAGGTGAAGATGGGCAAGATTTCATCAATGAGGTGGCAACCATTAGCAAAACTTCACACGTCAATGTTGTCACTTTGTTGGGTTTCTGTTTTGAGAGTACTAAAAGAGCTCTACTTTATGAGTTCATGCCTAATGGATCGCTTGAGAAGTTTATATTCGACGAAAATGCAACCGAAACTGCTCATAAGTTGAATTGGGAAACACAATACCTAATTTCACTTGGCATTGCTAAAGGACTTGAATATTTGCACAACGGTTGTAACACTCGAATTCTGCACTTTGATATTAAGCCTCATAACATTCTTCTTGATGCAGATTTTGTGCCTAAGATATCCGATTTTGGTTTAGCCAAAATTTGTAAAAGAACAGAGAGTGCCATCTCAATGTTGGGTCCAAGAGGAACTGTCGGATATATTGCCCCTGAAGTATTTTCCAGAAACTTTGGAGAGGTCTCACACAAATCTGATGTTTATAGTTACGGAATGATGATTTTAGAACTGGTGGGAGGAAGAAGTAATATCAATGTTAGAGTCGATAACACAAGCGAAATATATTTTCCACATTGGATCTACAAGCGTCTAGAGTTAGATGAAGAGCTTGGACTGAAGAGAATACAGAACGAGGAAGACAAAATAAAAGTGAGGAAAATGATAATAGTAAGCTTGTGGTGCATACAGACTGACACTTCAAAACGTCCAACAATGAGTAGAGTCATAGAAATGTTGGAAGGGAGCGTTGATTCCTTGCAAGTACCACCCAAGCCGTTCTTGTCTTCTCCTAATTAAACATCACCACAAACCGAATCTTCTAGAACATTTGTCTTGGCAAATTTATGAATGTCGTTGCCCAATTTAGGACATTACTCTGTTTATTTATTTTCTATGATATATTTGTACTCTTTACTGCTTAGTGTTTAATTTTAGAAAATATTAATCAAATGATAATTGCTTTCTTAAACTTAGTAATTAATTATACACAAATGAAATTAAAGTAATTATACGCTCATTATTAATTATTATTATTACTTCATTCATTCAACAATTATAATGCTACTCGTTTTAATTTAATACAAAAAATTTACTCTTTTTAATTTATTTTAAAAAATGACTGACGATAATTGTTATCATTAAAAAAGTTGCCGACAAAAACATTTAGGGCTTGTTAGAATCAGGTTATCTAATTGTTACAGCACTTGGCCCCATGGGCGTAGGTTTTTAGCGAACCACGTAAAAATTTCTCTGTGCATTATTTATTTACTGCTTTTGTAGATAATAAGATTAATTAGTCGTTTCTTATTCAGAAAACTTAATTAATTAATTGTTGCAGAATCTGTTGCAACAGTAAACGTAAAACAGATCTTTAAACTTTATTCTATTCTCATTGCAAAAGGATCACATCTTACTCGTCATACATTATTATTGTGAAGCACTCTTGACTTTTATTGTAACCTCGTAGTGTATGTGAATCAATGATGGAATTTAGCCAAACCCAATTTTGCAATTTTTCTTGCGTAAAATAAATGTTTCAGTCTACTATGCTGTATGTGATCACTGACACTGACGTTGCTATACTTTTATCCATCTCTGTTGAAAATAAGCTTGTTTTTAGCTGAGTAAAGCACAGCAAAACCAGCCACAATGCCAGCTATAAGTAGTTTCAATGTCCTTAACTTGTGATACTTTGACTTGAAGCCATTGGTAAGGTACTCCACACCCCATCGCGAAAAGAAATGCAGCCCACACGTTTTTTGGAACTTCTGAATGGAAAATTCCTACAAAGAACAATGCAACAAGCTTTGATATAAGCATTGAAAATGCGTGATACTCAATATATCGAAGTATGAACGATGTTTTGTTCAAAGCTTATCAACATTTAGATCTATAAGGTATCTACAGAGCAGTGCAATCTTCTGGTGGAAAATGCAAGGAAAGTAGTCCAACCTAAAGTAAGATAGCTGGAGAACAGGCCAAAGGGAGAGGCTTTCCTCATTGGGATTCAAATTTACCCAAGTCATCAGCAAGTGTATCCAAACTGCGGTTGAAAGTTTCTAAAGAGAAACCCTGCATGTTTCTCAAGAATCATTGTTGACATTCGACTCGCATCTCCATTTCATGCAAGTGTAGAGGATTATATGGTCTAATTAAACTGTAACTCTTTAAGAAAATAAAAGAGAGCAAACAACCCTGTTGAGATTTTTCCACCACTAATTGAATCTTGGTTCTTCTATGTGTAAACAATTAGCGTGAGAAGAATGATTTTAACAAGGGCATACCAGCTTGATCATCTATAAGCATGTCAATATGCACTGATACATTGAGTAGAGAAGATTTGTGTAAGATTAGCGCTGGAATATTACCTTTGGCAACTTATCTTGATGTGCCAGATGATCGACGTGAAGCCTAACATTATATGAAGCAGGAATCCAAAAACGACGATCAACCTCAGAATATACATTTGCAATTATCTCAAACAACGTATGTGCTCCATTTTCTATCGCTTCCAAGATGGAAATTTCTCTACTTCTGCGATTCCTGAAGATTTGGGAATGTATGTCAAGGTTAAGTAGTTCCTGATACATCAAGCCAATAATGGAAAAAAAAAAAAAAAAGAACACACGCATTTGCTAATAATGGGACCCGTAGAGCATATAATACGATGAGAAGAAATTAGACAATAATTTATATTTCATACTTGAGATATCCACAAAGCATGTGCTTTGGCCAAAGGTTAACCCTCCCATGCATCGGGATTAAAGCATGTGGGGAAAGCTCCATAAAGGTGTAAGTTGTCTTGAAATAATCCTGCATAACATCAGCCTTATTAGTGAGATTTGTTTTAGCAAAATAGACTGTTTACGTGGACATGTGTAATTAAATTACAACAAAAATAAGCGCCCATGCCTTAAATATAAAGATAATCAGAATCGGCATGCCTGCATTATCTCTCATTAACTTTTGTTTTCTTTTTCAATTTCAGTTTTTTGGTCCAAATGCATCATAATTAAAAGCTTAATATAATGACTAAACCTTTTTTTTTCTCCCCTTCGATTGATTACAATCAATTTCAACTCTGGCTGGAAAACACACAACATTAGCTAGTTTATTACATTAAGAAAACGAACAGCAATCAGCCAATTGAGGCTAGCGGAATTTGTGTTTAGTGGCATGAGTTGGATTAATGTATTAAGTCTTGGCTTCAAGTCCCAGGAGATAATTAAAAAAAAAAAAAAAACAAAAAAAAACAAACAAACAACAATGACATGAAAACACCTGCAAAGAGATATTTATTTCCTTTTTTTTGTTATATTAAAAAAAGGGGTAAACAGTGTCCCAAAAATTGAAAGAGTTAGATTGGTAAACCATAAAATGATATTTCATTCATAGGAAATACAAAATGAAAAGTTATATGGTAATGCACTCACTTCCATATTTCCACCAGACCTGACGTCCAAGATGGTACTTCCTTGCCTGAAACAACAACAAAGACAGTTAGCAGTGAAGTTTCTAGAACGAAAAATTGTCATCATTGAAATAAAAACCAACTTTTAATGAATAGGAAATGAAATTTGAAAGCAAAGGTTAAGAAAAATAAATAAAAAAAAGGAAGAAAAATTGTGTTTCTCAAGTTCAGTTAGTTATTTTTCTGTTTAATGACATTGGTGTTGACGGTAGAATTTCATCAACAAGATTATGCCGGATTACCTCTCGGTGGTCCGCTAAGTTACCGGTCAAAACTAATTATTTTCTCATATTTATGCAGCTGATAGTGTTTTTTTTTTTTTTAGGTATATTGAAAGATGTATTGATTTGTTGTTAGAACGGAAGTAAAGAGACACGAATTTATAGTGGTACACTATAAAAAAGAGCTACATCTACTGGTTCTTGTATTTTTCCTTTTGTGCTTTTAAGATTACAAAAAAGCTCTCTCTCTTTCTCTCTGGGGCTTTGCCCTTTTTATAGCCTACAGATTACATATGGGTTTCTTTTGGGCGGACTGTCACAGGGGGTTTTCTGATGGTTTCTCTCAAGTAGCCTATTATCCTATCTGCCTAGACCGTAGCTTCTCAGCACCTTTTGGACTGTTCACTCACTCACTTTGTCCACTATTGCGACTCTGCGGATCCTCTGTGATTTTCATTGGTCCATTCCAGGCGATTTATGGGCAGGTAATCATTTCCTGTGCTACTGACCTTCTCCAAACCTAAACGTAACCTAGGAATTTCTCCCTTGTCCCCTCAGAGGCCTTTATTCTACATGCACACATATTCATGCGTTCTGCCCTCTGCACCTACATTATACTTCACAGAGTGCGACCTCTGTCTCGGTCGACCCCCTGATGGTACCCCTTCTGTTGCGAACAAATTACGCATGCCTCGACTGGATGTAGGGTCGACGGCTGTGTAAATCATCCCATACGATCGGCCTTTTCACCATATGGCGATGGGGGAATGAGCCTTAGGCGTCGACGGTTGCCTGACGTGGCGGGTTTTGGACCACGTGGAGCGTGGTCGTCATCCGACGTGTCAACGAATATTTTCCCACACAACAACTACCCCCTAGGTCGAGGCTTTTCTTTGGATTGCCTCGAGCTAGGCTGGGATTTGCTCTGGCCTTTCCATTTGCTTCGGGTGTGGGAGCCTAACTCCGAACCTCCCTTGTAATGATGGCTCTGACACTTCGAAGTCCTTCGAGAAGTGCAAACGTCGCGTCGGGTCGATCGCCACGCTGACGTGGGCTTTCATTTAAACGGACGAATCTGGGCCATTGGATCGTGTCTCTTCAGCTTCCCGCCTTCTCCCCAACCGTCGGATTGAGTGCCTTCGTTTCCGCTGTTGGATGCATACTCATTTCATCGGACGGTTGAGGGTCGAGGGCTTTTCGTTACTATAAATAATCTCTTCGTGCTTGTTCAAATCATCTTGAAACTAAACCGAAACTCTGTCAAAATTTCTCTAGGACTGTTCTTCATAATCTCCTATTGCAAACACGCGAATCTTCAGCGAAGTTCACCTCCGAGTTCTTGCACCCCTCTCGCTCCTTATTTTCTGGTAAGCATTCCTCCCCCCTCCTTCCTACTTTGATGTCTGTGTGTTTATTCTTTTGCCTGAGCTCGTAGTGGATTTTGAGAGAGGGGGATATGGTTTGAAAATGACGTAATAGGGGTGCTAGAACCTGATTTGGTGTTTTTCGCTATATTCTGAACTGGTCATGGGAGTTTTGAGTGAGCCTGGATTCTTATTTGGCTTTCTGGGTTTATTTGAATAATCGACCCTTGGTTTGAATTATCGTCGTCTAGATCATGTTTAGGTTAGAATCATCGTCGCCTATTTGAACTATCGTCGTTTAGCCTTAACTTTACTTGGCTAAGCTTTTAAACAACTTTAGACGCCGAAATGATTTCCTCTCCCCTCTCGATTTATAGGATATTGATCTTAGATTTTTCCTTCACAGTAATGGCACCTAAAAGGATTAACCGTCGAAGGGGATCATCGTCCGTGCCTCTTGTGGGCCGGATCCTTCTCCAACCGCCGAGTCTTCCTCCCTCTCTACCAACAGCGATCCAATTTTGAGGGACGTCTAGGACTACATCCCCGATCCTCGGGATAACGAGGACAACGTCGACCGCCTAGTGTAGCGTCTCCGCTTACTTGGTCGGTGGTGTTATCTCTGGCTACAGCGGATGACACCTTGGTGTCCCCGTGGCATCAGTGGGGGCGGATGAGGAGCGGCCGTCCTTCACAGCCGACTTCATGGCGCCAAAGACACGGCAGAGATAGGATTATGAGTTCCTTCAAGAGTCTCTTAAGCCACATTCCTTCGCAAATTCCATGTGTCATAGCTCTGAACTCAGCTTCTGCACTGTTTCTTGAAACCACTGTTTGTTTCTTACTTCTCCAAGTGACACGGTTTTCCCATATGAAGGTGCAATACCCTGATGTGGATCTTCGATCAGTAACTGAGCCTACTCAGTCTGCACCAGTAAAGATTTCTATTCTCATGTTTGTGTTCTTCTTAAAGTACAAGCCTTTGCCATGAGTCATCTTGAGATACCTCAGAATTCGATAAACAGCCGTCATATGCTCTTTCATGGGATTATTCATGAACTGGCTCACAACACTCACTGAAAAACCAATGTCGGGCCTAGTGTGTGAGAGGTAGATGAGTTTCCCAACTAGTCTCTGATATCTTCCCTTGTCAAGTGGTGTATCATTCTCCCCAAGTCCTAATTTCGTGTTCAGATCCATAAGCGTATCTGCAGGCTTGCATCCGAGCATTCCAGTGTCTTTTAGGAGATCTAGGACATATTTTCCCTGAGAGACCGATATTCCATCTTTTGTTCAAGCCACTTCCATTCCTAGGAAGTATTTGAGGGTTCCTAGGTCTTTGATCTCGAACTCTTTTGCAAGGAAGTTCTTCAATCTTTTCATTTCTTCTAAGAAATCTCCTGTAAGGACAATGTCATTGACGTAGACAATGAGAATGGACGACTCCCCTCTTCCTGATCGCTTGATAAAAAGAGAGTGATCCGCCTGACACTGTGAAAATCGGTCAAACCAAGCTCGAGGTGACTGTTTTAGTCCATACAATGACTTTTTGAGTTTGCAAACTTTATTATTTGTTGCTTGAGTTCCGAGACCAGGAGGAATCTCCATGTATACTTCTTCTTCGAGGTCACCATTGAGGAAGGCATTCTTGACATCAAGCTGGAATAGTGGCCAGTCTAAGTTAGCTGCAAGGGATAAGAGAACTCTTACAGTGTTGAGTTTAGCAATCGGGACAAATGTTTCCTGGTAATCAATGTCGTAAGATTGCATGAATCCTTTCGCAACTAGTCGGGCTTTGAATCGTTCCACACTTCCATTTGACTTGTGTTTTATCGTGAATATCCATTTGCAGCCCACAGGTCGTTTTCCTTGTGGCAAGTCAACTATCTCCCATGTATTGTTCTTTTCTAAGGCCCAAACTTCTTCCATAATAGCTGCCTTCCAATGTGGTATCTCAATGGCTTCATGAATGTTGTTGGGAACCTGTATCTTGTCAAGATTGGAGACAAAAGCACGATATTCTGGAGGTAATCTTTTGTAAGACAAGAAGTTATAAATAAGATGATTTGTGTAGGATCTCACTCCTTTTCTTACGGCAATGGGCCGATTATCATGAAGCTCGATAGTGGAAGAGTCATGTTGGGAGTTACCTTGTGTTACTTCTAAAGGACTTAGAGTTGGTTCCGACTCTTGGACTTGCTGAAGGATTGCTTGTTGTTCTATCTCCTTTAGATGCCATTTCTTTCTAGAATAAACACTATTTTTTAACAGGAGAAGGAGAATGATGTGATGGAAATTTGTTTAGTAACTCTTGAGATGAATTCTGAGAAAGGACTTCAACAGGAGACTGGGTGATTGGATTTGGATCAAGAACACGAAGGTCGTGATAGGGTTGAGTTTCAATGATGTCCCAAAACTGATGTTCTTTTGACGCACTATCCTCCTGAACGTTAGTTTTTGGGTAGTAGGGTTGTTCCTCAAGGAAGGTAACATCCATCAAGTTATAGAATCTCCTTGTGATGGGTGAGTAACATTTATACCCTTTTTTATTTGGTGAGTACCCAAGAAAAATGCATTTGATTGCTCCGGGATCGAGTTTGCTTCGGTTATGAGGATAAACATAAACAAAGGCTGACCAGGCAAACAGTTTGGGTGGAATGGTGGAAATGAAACGACTTTCTGGATAGGCTTTGAGAAGAACTTGACTCGGAGTTTGAAATTTTAGCATACGGGATGACATTATGTTGATAAGATAAGCTGCCGTAAGAACAGCTTCTCCCCAGAAGTGTTTTGGAACATGAGAAGTGAACATCAAGGACCTACCAACCTCAAGGAGATGCCTATTCTTTCTCTCGGCTATCCCATTCTGTTCATGAGTATCGACACAAGAACTCTGATTAATAATGCCCTGGCTATTCAGATTATCTCCTAGAATAGTTTTATAATATTCTTTTGCATTATCAGTCCTGAAAACTTGAATTTTTGTTTTGAATTGTGTTTGGATCATGGTGTTGAATTTTTTGAAGATTTGCTCTACTTCTGATTTTTCTTTCATGAGAAATATCCAGGTAATTCTTGTGTGATCATTAATAAAGGATACAAACCAACGTGTCCCGGTAATTCTTGTGTGATGGTCCCCAGACATCACTATGAATCATAGAGAAAGGATGTGACATGTTCTATGATCGACTGGGATAAGAATTACGAACATGCTTTGAAAGATGGCACACTTCACATTGAAAATTCTTAGATCTTTTATTTCTGAATAATGAAGAGAACAGTTTTTCAAGATAAAAGAAATTAGGATGTCCTAGATGATAGTGTCATAACATAATTTCACTATCCTTATTTGAAGAAATAGAAACACAACTATTGTGAGACTGATTTGAGAAGACTGCTTCGTGAGCTTATTTTTCCACAAAGTGATCGCCTTTGAGGAGATAGAGTCCCGAGCACGCCTCAACACTGCCAATCATCTTCCCCGAATCCGAGTCCTAAAATTCACACATATTTTGGAAGAATTTAGCAACGCAATTCTTATCTCGGGTCAGTTTACTGATTGACAGTAGATTATAATCAAAATTCGGTACAAGTAAGATAGAATGAAGAGACAAAGTCTTAGAAATTGTAACCGAACCAAAGCCTGCAACTTTTGAAATGTAGCCATCTGCAATCTTAACTAAGTGATTTTCATTGCTAGGCATAAAATCAGTAAGAAGGGATTTATCTCCCGTCATGTGGTCTGAAGCGCCCGAGTCAACAATCCAAATATCATTTCTTTCCCTGCTAACAATCAATGCTTTTGAGAAATTACCTTTTTGAGCAAGGGACCATGTAGCAACAATGGAAGAGCCGGAGGATTAACTGATCATCTTTTGAAGAAGTTCAAGCTGTTCTTTGCTAAAGAGAACCGGTTCGGTGGTGCTATTCTCACTGGTTGAGGATGCAATATTGCCACGGCTTTCAGGTGTTGGGTGTGAGGGTTCCCAATCAACAGGTTTTCCATGAATCTTCCAACAAGTATCCCTGGTATGGCTTGTTTTCTGACAATGCTCACACTAGGTTTTGCCTCTTCTCGCCTTGTTCTCTATGTTGTTCGGTTGAGGTCCACGCACAGCAAGGGTTGATCCTTCAGTGGCTGTAGCTATGGGCAGATTGTTGGGTGTTCCCATCTTTCGGCTTTCTTCCCTTCTTACCTCCGAGAAGGCTTCTCTTAGACTTGGCAGAGGTTTTGTGCCCAAAATTCTCCCACGGACTTCATCTAGATCCTTATTAAGTCCCATTAAAAACTTAAAACACTCATTTTTTCTCAATGATCTGCCTATACCGATTTCCATCATTCGGACTCTCCCAAGTATACTCTTCAAACAAGTCTAACTGTTGCCAATAACAAGAGTATTATAGTATTGGGTAACATAAGTTTCACCTTGTCGGAGATCATTCGACTCTAATACCATAAATGGTGTTTTCGTTGCTAGAGTAGGTGTCTTTGGCAGCATCCCAAATTTCTTTGGCAGTACTATAGAGGAGAAAATTTTCTTCAATATCGTTGATCATAGAGTTGATCAACCAAGACATTACCATGATGTCCTCAGCCCTCCAAGACCGGTACTTAGGGTCTTTTTCTCTTGGTGAGGTTGACAGGCCTGTGAGGTGGTCCTCCTTCCCTTTCCCACGAATAAACATGAGAACGGACTGTGACCACTACAAATAGTTATGCCCGTTCAGCTTGTGGCTTGTGATTGGTAGAATCCCACTGTTGTCCGTGCCTCCATTGTTTCCTGCCACCGGATTTTCCTGATTGGAGGTAATTTCAGAGGTGGAGCTTCCTCAGTCTGCTGCCATGCCGTATTTTGCCATTGTATATGGGACTATAGGAGAGTTGATGGGAAAAAACAGGGGTTACTGGACAGAGTCAGAGGCAGGGCTCTGATTCCATAAAGAATTGAATGAAGAATATAGTTCTTTTCATTGATTTAGAATAGTACAGAGGCTGAATATATATACAAGGAGGCATGATCTGCTGCCTTATTCTAAGGAAATAATACTGATTTCTAGCCTAATATGATCAAGAAAATATCAGGAAATATTTCCTGATTTCCTAAATTAACTCAAGAAGGAAAGTTTGACAAATCAAGGCTAATCTACAACCTGTCACAGCCGGAGCAAGGCTGTACAATCCAGAAGGTGATGCAACCCAATCCGGATTTTCAACCAGAACATCTAACATCTTAAGTTCTGCATCCAGCCTAAAGAGGATCTTCTTCATAATTTAAAATAAAAATTTACTATGATCAATTTTCTAGGGAATTATCCGAAATTATTCAGATAAGCACCAAGTTGATACAGATAGATATACTATAACATGCAAATATTTTTCTCAATCTCTCATAAAAAAATAAATGAAAAAATCAAAACCCATTAATGGAGCACCGTCATCTTTAACTGAATCTTACCCAACACAATGATCACCAACAACAATGGAGTGTGTACGGACATGAAGCAATCCCATATGACCATCTGTGTGTCCCTGAATGAAGAACTGTTTAATTCCAGAGGCAACAATGTAGAAGCATGTTTTGGTGATAGATATATGAAACTATGGCTTTTAAGTTACATCTGAAGATAGTTCTGACACTTTGACTCAAGTTCCTGACCTGTTGATCACAATTGGTATTCTTATATTTATTTTTCTTGGTTGTAAATTTTGGAACGAAGATCTAAACCAGCCTCCACCCAAACTCAAATGCAGATGCATATAAACTCTTATACTAGATCTCTGAACCATGATACTTACAAACATCAATAGAAAAATGATACTCGATGGAAAAATGAAATAATCAAGATTATTTCCAAACATGTACTACATGAAACAAGTGTAGTAAATTTAGATTTTATTGCTTCTATATGGTATCACCAAGAGCAACCTTTTACTTTTTTGAGAAAAACTATAGAGTCAGAAGAGCTATATTGCCACTTGTAATAGGAAACTAGAGTGTGCATAAAGATATACGAGTCACTTCTTAAATTTTGAGAAAGGTCAAGTGAGTAAGAAATACCGGAGCAAAAATGACATTCAATCTCTGACCACCAATGCAAATGTCTTCATTTCCAGTAATCGAAGTATAACCAAGAGACCAAACATCTGTCAGTTTATGACTATGATGTTAGAATCTAGAAGTTAAGAAGAAGTTGAAGTATAAGCAAGAGACCTGTCATTGTCAGCATAGAAGACTATGAAATTAGAAACTAAAACCTAAACAAAACAAACAAAATTTAGAAATCAGTACTAAATAATAAAACTGCATTTAAATACCTAATGGTACCAAAAGTTCGAAAAACTGATAGCATCCATCAAAATCATGTTAGAGAAACCAAAATGCGCATCCATTTTACCATAAAAATACATTTCACAGACTATTAACAGTATGATATCATAATCCATGGAAGCATAGATGTCAAGGAAACCACTAAAATTAGAATTAAATTAAAAACAACAGATAGCATTATTATAAATAGTTTAAATGGCTCGTACTTTGAAAAAAGTTTAGGAATCTTTACACCTGACCATAAGAGACACTTTCCTTAGTTAAGTACATATGAACCTAAGGTTATGAGAAGTACAGACTTGGTAGTCCCCACTGCCCCTCAAATAAAAGAAACCGAAGAAAGGTAGAACAGAGAGAGGAAATAGAAGACAGTAAATAGAAACTAAAAATGTGCAATTGTAACCTTTTCCAATGCGACGCATGGTATTTTCATGTGCTAATAACACAGCATTAGGATTGCATTGTTGGACAACAGATAAACCTGGAAAAGAACAGAAAGAACAACAGGAAAAACTTCTGAGATACGAGGCAAGTCCTTTATGTATCTGGCTATTTAATAGGACCTACGAGCATCTCCAATGCAATGCTATAATTGATGTTCCAATTGCAAATTTAACATTTGAGTGCAAAAAGCACTGTCCAATGCAATACTATTTGTTGTGCCAAATTTCCCATATGCTAAACTTTGTGGCAAATTTCCCACCAAATATAGCATATGAGAAATGTGGCATTTGATTACTATTGGTTGAAATGTTTACTTTTTCATGTAATCATACTTTTTCATGTAATCATTGCAACTTTTGCATTTTCTAATTATTCTAAAAATAAAAGTGTACTTTTCCCAACTTTCAAAACTTAATGATTATGGAAAAAAGTAGATTTAGCATTTCAAATAGCATTATGCATTGGAACAAAAATGAAAATAACATACCATATCACACTTTTTAAGACTAAATATACAATTGGCATTAACATTTGCATTGGAGATGGTCTAATAGGTTAGTTCAAAAATTTGCAATCAGGAAAAAACAAGCCAATCGGGCCCCTAGTCGCCAGATTTATATGAAATCATGGTAGAGAAGTAGCTAACTCATCAACTTTATACTTAAAAAAGTCATATTTAATCTCCTAGTGCTGGTTTGGTTGGTTGCATATCAAAACTTACCATCTACATGATCGTGGTGGTGATGAGTAATAAAGACAACCAACTTTTTGGGCAAAGAAGAAACAATATCCTTGAGCTGAACACAACACATAAACAATGACGTCAACTTTGTTTTGCCAAAAAAAAAAAGACGATCACACTCGAATCTTAATAATTTAGAAAAAGGGAACTCTCTGTAACATGAACAAAGGCACAAGTTGAACAAATAGCTACAAGCCTACATCATCAAGCTAGTAGGAATTTGCATCTGCTGAAATCCAAAGTCATTTTTACCGATCATAACTGAAACCAAGTTTTAACAAATGTGAAAGGCTCATAAAAGTCATAAAAGGACTAAAGAAGTACCAAAATTCAATTAAATAAAAAATATAGAAACACACACACACGCCCACCCACACAAAAGTTTGCCTTCACTTACAAATTTTATTTTCATTAAAAGGCCAATAGTTATAAAGTACTAAAATAGAGATACATATTTTTGGTGCAATTGATATCCAAAATCAGAATTGGATCCTAACTTGAGTAAACTACTGGATGGATTAATTCAATCCTTTTTCAGGGAATCACTAGATGGATAACTTTAGTTCGTAACTCAATAAAGAATAAAAAAATTCAGTCAGATATTAAAACAGCATCAGTAATATAATCAAACATTAAATTGGGGTTGAATTCAGATGAGTTCAAACCTCTGATAAAATTTTAGACAGACCCTAACTCAAACATTGTCTCGTACAAGAAGCAGTTAGCACACAGGCAAGTTCCCTAGGATTTTCTACCAAGATATGGGGTAAGCGCAGACATATACTTAATCATTGAAAAGAATAGGCCTTTGAGAGAGGAGTTAACTCCTTTTCTTTTACCAAAGTCGAGCAAAAGATAGCTCAAATTTGAATTCATTTGTGAAAAGCATCAGAAGAGCAATTTTCTCAGCAAATGACAATACCTCTTCATAAAGATTGGAGTGACATCCTGGATCTACTATCAATGCATCCCCAGAAGCAACAAAACTAGCATCGTCACAGTCAGCTGAGGGACTCTCAGGTGCAAATACAATCAAGTTCGTTGTAGTAAATGGTTTTAGTGTCCTACTTTTCATGGGTACAATTGTAACACCGGGAGGGTACTCCTGAAAATGAGGAAAGGTATTTAATCTCCAAAGATAATTTTGTGTGCTGCATCTTTAAAAAAAAAATTGAAAAACAAAAAACAAAACAAAACAGTTAGTAGAGATTATAAAAGAGAGAAGATAAAGAGCGTCAGGTTGTGTTGTACACCAGCATTCACAATGTGAGTGTCCCACAAGTTTGGGGCCCACATGTGGGACTCACCTATTGTGAGTAGTTATGTCGGACACTACTAATCTTGAACATCACTGTTTTTTACCAATGATACATGTCGATGTATATTACATATAAGAATGACGCCATATTTTCAACTGATAATCCAATATTTTATCTCCTTTCCTCTCCTATGACTAACTGCATTGCCCCTTGCAAAAGTTTGAAAGTGCATCGTAAATCATCTTCGAAAAACCAATCAACAGTATGCATAAACCTCCAGTATTGATGATTTCGTGGAAGGATTTGGTTTATCATACACTCCCTAATCACTCAAATACAGCAAAATGAAGTAACAGACAAGGTCTTTAGAATTCTAATCGAAAGGAATAAAAACAATGAGGCAAAATGAAAAGACAACAGCACTCTAATATAGTCTTTATACCCCATCTAAAAAAGACAGCTAGTGAAAAGAGATCAAACCTGATAATTTAAATTTTGGGGAACTTTCCATATTTTAGCTTCCAATGAGTCATTTACAAGGCCAGCAACTACCAAAGGCCCTATACGGTCACCATTTGGTTTCACATCCACAAGCCAATTCAAACTACTTTGTGCAGACATCCACTTACATGACTCTGCATGGCATTTTTCCAAAAGGTAGATATAGATTATAGACTAGTGAGCTAGATGAGATAATCTCACTTTCAGGCAAATAACTACAACAGAGGTCACTAACTCATATGGCATGATAATAGAACTAAAACTACAAAATCAATGTGGAATGGTAAAATTCACACACACACACAAATATATATACACCAAAAGGATTAGATTGTTAAAAAAATAAATAAGCCCCCAGTTGATTCTTTGTCCTTGGTTTCATAATTTGCATATAATACCATGGGAAAAGTGGGTACGAGTAAACCTTGTAAATTGGGATCCCCAGACACCAAAAGTCCCAAAATGAAAAGAGTGTGAAAAGGAGGCCCTGGTCCAAACTCAGCTTCTTCAACGAACTTCCAGAACCTCCAATTTCCCCATTCAGCATCCCCAAAAACCACTTGTTCCAGAACCTACAAACCCTAAACTGATCAAAAAAACAAAATTCGAAAGCAAAAAACTCGGTAGAAACTGCACAAGTACCCGTTTGAGAGCCAAATTGACATCGAACTTCCTCAATTCAATCATCTCCGAGCACGATTCCGCGTCATGAATAGAAATCGGAGGCTCGGACTCTCCTTCTAGAGGGTTCAACCGCGTCGACGGCAAGTCCCAGAGATCGGAATCGGCGAAAGAGTCATACTCCTCGTCGCCGAACTGCGGCGGTCGTTTCTGCTTGACGAGGAGGAATTCGGCCTCGTTTCGAGGGTTCTTGAGGATGACAGCGAAGTTGTACGTCGCCATTGAAACATGAATTGCAGAGCTCGAAATGAGAGTTCGAAGACGGAGAAGAGTAGGTAAGAGTTGGGTAGCTGTTTTGACACGTGGCTAACTATCGTGGCGGTAGCACAGAAAATTGGTGAGGAAAGAGAGGAGCCTTAACACAGCGTTATGGCGGCGGTTGCTTACTTTACTTAGGATAGGTGGTCGTTGATGTTAGTTAATGGCCGTTGGTGTCGGTTAAGCATATGTGCATTTTTTATTTTATTTTTTTTCATAGAGCTATGAATATGGATCGGACTAGGCGGGCCGACCTGAGGCAACCGGGCCGCATTAGGGTGTGAGCAGGACCTAGATTTATGGCAGCAGCTCGGATCTAATTTTATTTCAAACGAGAAAATATGGCAAATAGTTTTTTTTTTTTTTTTTTTTTGAGAATGCAAATAGTATTTTTCGATATGCTTTTGAAGTTTATAACGTATTTTTTAATGTTAGTAAATAATAGCATACTTTAAGACTTTAAGTTATGAGACTTTATAGGTTAAATTTTTTATACACATATCTAACGATTAAAAAAACTTAGCCTACCGATACGCTAGGCCGAGAATCTCTCTTAAATTATTTTGAGTCTATGCTTTTACGTATTTGCCCCTACTTTTTTCTTTTTCTCTTACCCGGTTGCACTCTCTATCCTCTATCTCTTCCCCTCATTGATTCTTTTCTCTCTCCTCAGCCCAATTTCTCTCTCTCCCTCTAATCTCTATCCTCTGCCCGTCTCTATATTCCTCATCTCGATCATCTACAATCGGTGATTGAATTTCTTAATAAATACAATATTTATCATTCGTTAGATTTTTGAGTAAACATGTTATTTCTAAATAAATATGATATTTTTTTAGTTGCCGGGCTAACTGTTAAATTTTCACATAAAATATGGTATTTCTAAGTAAATATAAAATTTAAGGGTAAAAATGGCATTTACCGATAGGCGACGTCGATACTGGCAACCGTATTTACCGGTCGCTGGTGCATGCTATATTTACAGGTAAATATGATATTTATGGTTAAATACAGTATTTATTGGTGAATACAATATTTATGAAATATGGTATTTACAGGTCGTCGATCACTAGTCACCGGTGCCCGTCGCCAGTTGTCGCCCAGGTCACCAGACACCGATAGTCGGCCATGGTAGACCTAACCAAATGGGAGAAGGAGAAAGAGTTGGGAAACAGAACGAGCAAGGAGGATAGTACCTATGTAATTATGCTATTTATTGCACATTCTTAAAAATTATGCTATAATTTAGTAACTACCCTATTGAATATGCTATTGCACTCATTCTTCCATTTTAAAAATATATATAAAATACATAGGTCGTACATTTTTATTAACGGATCAGCCCATACTGCCTCCTTATATAGATGGGACGTATCAAGCAGTTCATATTTACACTACTACTCAGCCATGGGAACACTTCAACAATTCTCTTTTGATATTAGTAGAGGGTCTTATTTATTTATTAACATAAGATTAGTGGGGTAAAAATGTTTCTATTAAATTGTTTACTTACTAAAATTGGGGAATGGAAGTCAATCACATATTTACTTGTTCCTTTTTTTTTTTAGAAATGACATTGACAATCTCATGCTCTCATATGGATTGACACTTCCAATCTTAAGTACTATATTATTATATTACCCCTAATTTAAGTATAGATAATAAACTTTTAAAAGTACAAAAAAAAAACCAAAAAAGTTAAAAGAAATGATATTTTTTGTCTGATTTGAATAACACGGGATACTTTTTGAATTTGAAAACTCAAAGATAAAAGTTGTATTTAGGTAAAATTGAAAGAATACATTTTGAATTTTCTCAAATAATAAGATGAGTTTGTGTTATGTATCCTTAAATTCCCTTCCACATAAACTATGATTGATCAACAGAAAACAAAATGTCTAGTATCGTAAAGAAGACGTATAATAAGAACACGATCGAGTTAGGAAAATGTAATTTATAATAATAATGAACATACCGTCTTTGTCAGAGTTATTTTTTGCATTTTTACCAGCCTTCTTATCCTCAACAAGAATAAATTCTAATTCTTCGTCCACGCCATTTGATTTGTAAGGAGCAAATCCATATATACAATTAAGTTACAAAAGCATACTCATATAGAAAATCAAGTTATACAATTTTGGACGATATGACCAAAAACGAAATTTGTTTATGCGTTTTTTCCCCCTATATGATGAATTGTTCCCTTTGATGTATTGATGAAAACCAGAATCTTTTTTTTTTTTCCTTCCAAAAATATGCAATAAGAAAACTTTCAATAATAAATAATTAATATTTTGTTAAATAGAACAGATTATATATTCATTGAATTACAAAGTGGACGTACAGTTTTAACTTATTTTTCTTATAAAATAGGGACACAACTAATTTAATTTTATAATGAAAGTGGAGCCACGTGGATTTACTTATCAACATGAAGTTCAAGCATCGCTGCTTTCGTGATTTAATAGTCTTATCAAAACAAAAATACTACTTTCATGATCTAATAGTATTATCAAAACAAAAATTTAGAAGGTTAGGATCATTTTAATTCACGGCTTTTTAATAAACAATTTGAATTTTTTTCCATGTACAAATTATGACATCATTCAATAATAAACATGTTTAAGAATCCATTACTAAAAATTTTCGTTGTATATAATTAAAAAAAAAAAAAAGCAAGAAAAGCAAGTAAGAGATATTCCAAGGTACGTAGTTCAAGAAAAACTCACAAATTTTGGCACTGCTTATCAATAACTGCTGACAGATTCGTAATCTTCACTCTCAACTCCATAAATCTATCCTGAGAGAATCCGTCAAAGATTTTGAGCTCAACAGTCTCTTGAAAGCCTTTGTTATCGACCGAGTGAAATATTCAGACATTGATGGGTCGTTCTGTCAAGCGCGATATATTTTCTTCTATATTTTTCTTCAGCTTACTATTTTCAAGTTCAAAAGAATCTGCATGAGCTTGAAAATGATCATAGTAATGAATGTAACGTAATTCGTCAAGGTTTTGATGCTCATTTGAAAGCTTGTCATCTTCAACAATTCTACAAAATGTGTCCATAAAATGTGATCCCATGTATGTTGGTTGCCAGTTTTTGCACCACCAAAGCCAGCTGCCAAATAGGAAGAAAAAGTCAATAAATAAGGGAAAAGTGATCTTTTCATTAGTACTTTCTCCATTTTCCTCTCTTAGGTTTTGAACAAACCTTTCTTTTCTTCCTATTTTCTTTTACTCGTGCTGAACAAAAATTAAAGCGTATATATATATATATATATATATATATATGTGCATGCATGAAGCACTAATAGTTGTAGCCAATACTTAAATTAGGTTCTTAATATATAGCATTCGTTTTTATAGATCTTTCCTCTCATAAATTGTGTTACCTAAGTCCGAACCAATAATCTTGAATTTAGAATACCCTTCTGCCCTTACGACTTTTTAATTGGCTAAATCCTATTTGCCTCCTTCGGGGACATTTCTCACTTTCTCGAACAAGTAAGAAATACTCGCCATTAATACGTAAAGCATTACCACACTGAGGAACACTAGGGCACCACTTAACTTTTCTATTATCCTCAATATATGACTCCAAAAGAAAGCGGTCAAACTTCTCTGCTAGATCAGTATCCTTAGCAGTAACTAGAATTCTGACTTTTGCCTCATCACAAACAGCATTGCAATTGTGTTCCATGCATCTAAAGCGCCGCCTGCTTTAGCCCTCTTTTATTTTTACAACAAAGTGTTCTGTCCAGCCTATTTAATTAGTGTAGACATAGAAAAAATTTAAATCAAATAATTAGGAACTATATTTTATGTGAAAGCTATGATGCAAGTTACAAACAAATAAAAGGGATTTTTTTTTAGTCACGTTAAATGAAACGATTTATCCTCCATATTATGCTGTCAGTCTAAAATTACTTAATTGTCAGAACCAGAGTTTTCTAGGGAATCATTTGCACTATTGGATTATGCGACATATGTAAGTATATTTTATCTTTAAATATATTCTTATTGTCTAACCTTTTTATTTTTGTTAATTAATAATTTTCGTTTCTCTTCATTACATAGTCAGATGGTTGACGAGAGGCAAACTCAAATTCACAGTCCGATTCAAGCGCCTCTACCCCCTGCCGTCGATGAGGTCGCCATTCTTGAAACGTGCTTGAGTCATCAAAAAGAGCGGGACCTAAAATCCATCGACGACAGAGGGGGTTCTAATTCTCCCTCTTCTGGGTCTCAGTCTGGGTTCCAGCATACACGATTATTTCCTACTTTGTAACAATAGTTTGCACATAATGAGACAAAGTTAATGTTTACATCCCTCCGCCCCCACCGGGTTTCATGCCTCCAACTGGAGAAGAAGAAGATAATAATAATGTAAACCTAGGAGATTAGACTTTATATATATATATATATATTTTATTATGTGTTTTATTTATTAATTACTAAACCTTATGCAGTTTATTTTATATTGTTGTTATGTTTTAGACCTTATTGTGTTATGTATTTGATTTTTGTGTTTTATTAATTATTATGTCATTCATGTTATTTCAATTGCATTACATAAATAATATATTTAATATTATTAACAAAATTTTTAATAATGTTAATGTATTATTCAGTTTTTTAATAAATATTTACAAATATTTTTGATAAAAAATATAAATTCATAAAACGAGTTAAAATCTAATTAATTAAAACAAATAGCAACATCAGCTGTTGTCACTAAAGATACAACGATAAGTTTTTAGCGATGAGATTGTCGTCGCTAAAACGCCTACAAACAAACTTAATTTTGAAAAATTTTGAAAGTTTTTGCAACGATAATTTTGAAACTGTAGTCGCTAAAAGTCTTGCTGACGTCATTTTCCATCAGTTCGTTTTTACAATTTATAGGACGACATGTCATTGTTATATCTTAATGATGACTTGATATCATTGTTAAATTTTGATTGACAACAGACTTTTAGCTCGTCGTTTAAGTTTTTTAGCGATGACTTTGGAAATTTTAGCGACAATTATTCTTGTAGTGACGGCACTTGGAAAGTTAGGAAACACAAAAGTGGACAAAATAAGACTTTGACAAGTATATGTTTGAACGGCATATACTTGACGGCTAAAACAGTAAGCATATGAAAGACTTCTGATTCATGTAAATATGT